TAATTTAAGACTTTTATGCATTGTTTATGCTAATTTTGTATTACTTATACCTACTTATTATATTTCATATACTTTGGTATTTTATTTAAATTTTCATTAAAATAAAAGAGTACCATAATTAATATAGAATGTGTAAGGTTAAAATATATAGTTTTTATTTTTTACATTTGTGTAAATTGAGTCTTTTAATTATAAATTAATTATTAAAATAAAGTTGTATAAAATCAAAATATCTCCAAATTCTCCTGTAATTTGAACCTCAAATTATTGATATCATTTTTTTTAACTTGACAATAATAATTAACTATTGAACTCTGATATTAGTACCAAAATTAATATAAAAGTAAATCAAGTTTTATATATCTCAAACAATTGATTAATCTTTATTTAACAAATTAAGTATTATATTTATTATTTTTAAACATAAGTTTTATTAAGTAATTTTTTTAATAATCGACCTATTAATCAAATAGGTTCTCTTAATCACAAATCAATTATAAATATGTAACATTTAATTATTAAAAATTATAAAAATATTTCTATTAATTATTAAAATTCTAAATAGAAATTACTTAATACATATTTTAATACAATTGTTTCATTTTCAATATGATATAATTGTTTAAATTAATTTTATCAATTAAATAATTATTAAAAATTCTACGTATGATACCTACGCATATAATTAGATTAATAGATGTTGAAATATGATTTTAATTAAAAAATAGCTAGGTTATAGAGAAATCAAATTTGAAAGATAGGATTAAAATACAATCAAATTAGTATATTATAAAAAAAATTAATTTCTTATTTATTTTATATAAATTTGTATTATGCATATCTTTTATATCAGAGAATCAAATCGATTTATCTATTTTGATTTGTAATTTAAGCAATTTTATGCATAATTTATTGTATTTATTATTTTACATTAATTTTATTCATTTATTATAATTTATGTATAATCATTTAAATTTACATTGAATTAGCTATTATGATGGCTTACATTTAAAATATAATAATAACACTATAAACTATCTTTTTAATTATAAGGATTAAAGACATATTTAAGTCATTTTAAAAGATAAAATTAAAGAAAAATATTTTTAAAAAAATAACAATAAAATTTATTCATTTTATAATATTAAAAATAATATTTATAAATTTAAAAAAGAGCGATCATCAGATTCTCGAAGAGTTCAAACAAGGTCTTAAATTTTTTGACGGAAAGAAAAATCCGTCAATCCGTCAGAAATTTCTGACAGATTTAGTAGTGTCCATTTCAGTGTATTTGGGATGACTTTGGACAACCTTTTTTATTTATGATCTTTTTCGGATTTGGTATGATTTGCGATTCGTCACACTCCGACTTGTAAGATTCGTTAGGCAGTTCACCAAATGATTAATTCGTTATACACATTGGAAACATATTTTAATGTGTATATTGAATCTATGTAGGATGTGTAATGGTGGTGAACATGCTTACGTGTAGTAAGAACATGCATAACTTTTGGAATTTGTCACAATCACACCACTATTCATCTAGTCTAACTGTTAAAGATCCAGTCGGTCATCTGTCCCTTGTATTATTGGTCTCTTGCACTAGAAAACGTGTATTATATGACGATAACAAACTCGAAGACATGATGACTATTTTCCTTGGATTCTGCACCTTTCATAACCCTATTTATTATTTCTGTATAAACTTGGTCAACTCTGAGTTTAGCATCGACTTCCTTCCCTCTCTAGATGAATAATGAATTACATCTCTTATAAGTCGATATGATAATTGCAGATATTAGAAAATTTCTTATTTTCCTAAGAATGGAATTTATTGTCTCTATCAAGTTGATAGTCATGTGTCCCCATCGTCGGCCACCGTCCCATGCAAGAGTCCATTGTTCTCTAGGAATAATGTTGAGCCAATCAATTACACCTTTAGTTTCTAGTTCGCCTCTCAATATATTAAAGTAGAATAGAACCTAGGCTCAGTCATCCTATAAGTTGCGAATTTTGAAGAGCAATAAAATCATCAATTTATTATTGTTGAAATATAGTAAAACAAATACAAATAAATGCTTAATTGATATAAAAAAAAGAAATAAAAAAGGAACTACATACCCATGTTGATGCTTAATTTTTTTTTCTTTCTGCATTCTTGAAATGCCTCATGAAGTTTTAGGCAATGTGGCAAATGCAAAACACATGCATTGAGTTCTTTGGCATTCTACCACTGCCTTGTCTAGAGTAGGTATTTTTGATGGACTCGTGCCTATCAGAAATTAAGCAAAGGCCATTTTGAAAGAAAACATGTTATTTTAGATAATGTAGAAAGAATACCATGCATCTGCTATTTAACCCTCAACAATGGCAAAGACAATTGGAAATATTTTGTTGTTACCATCTTGTGCCACGACCACGAGGAGAGTTCTTTTGTATTTTCCATACAAGAATGTGCCATCAACTTGAACAACGGGATTGCAGTATTCGAATCCATCGATACAAGGTTTAAATGTCCAAAATACTTGATGGAATTGAACATAATCAGGAACCATTTCACCTTGTTGGTTGTATAGTGGCCTTGTTTGCTTCTCAACAACAAATCCATTAAGAAATATTTATTTGTGTGAGATTCGCATATAGTTTAGCAGAAGTAAGAACTTTATGGCTATGAATCAGTTGAATCATGCCATGAACGTCTTCATCGTCGATAAGTTTGACAGGTTGGTAATAAAGCATTCCTCCACCTACCACTTGTGGATATCGAAAGTAAAGTTGATCAACTGAATAATATTGTGGTAACTTGATTCTTCTTTGGATTTGGTTTTTCAACACACCAAGTGTGATACGTGGATTAACTAGCAAAACATTGAGTAAAAAGATACAAAAGTGTCCCCTTCATTTGTTTGAGTGATATCACCATTGTAGAAGATCAACACACGAAAAGAAGAGGAAGACATTGTAGTAGACAAAGGGTTTGTATATCTAGATTTGAAAACAATAATACTTGGCTCAACTGCACTCTAGATTTGAAACCAAGAATGCTCTCATTTAAGCAGAAGGTGGAGATAGCTAGGGTTCAATCATTTTCACGAATTATTGACACTCATGACTAAAGGCATTGGATTCCTGATGTACGTAAATCAATGATACTCATGACTAAAGACATTAGGTTCTTGGTGCGCGTAAATCAATGACACTATGAATCAATGACACTTAATTAAATCAATGATACTCTTAATCAATGACACTCATGACTAAGGCTTTGGATTCCTGACACACGTAAATCAATGACACTCCGAATCAATGATACTCTTAATCAATGGCACTCATAACTAAAGGCATTAAATTCTCGACGCGCGTAAATCAACGACACTTTTAATCAATGATACTCATGACTAAAGGCATTGGATTCCTGATACATATGAATCAATGACTTTGAATCAATGATACTCTTAATCAATGACACTCTGAATCAATGACTCTTAATTAATGACACCCTACATAAAGTCATTGGATTCCTAACACATCTACAAAGCACATATGATTACATGCAAAGTATGAATTTTCCTTCATTTTCTTCCTTTCACTTTGAGGCCAGTGGAAGTGCTTCGTCAAATCCTGCTACGAATAATGTTCAAATAAAACATGATCGGGACCAACTTGAACTAGAACAATCACGCATTGGTCGTCGAAACTCAACAAAGAAACCAACAACCTCTAAGGTGTGGAACTGGTGGACATAGACATCTTTAACTTAGCTTGCTGTTATGTAATTTGGTGGACTATGATTGTGTTGTTTTTCTTATTTATTTATCTTATAATTTGATCTCCTATTCTGTTGGCACAAGTATTTCAAAACTGTTCATCTTAATCAAAGTATTATCAACTATTCTATTCACACCAGTAAAGTATACAAATTAATTAACTCACTTCATGGCCTTTTATTACGCCTCTACTAAATTGATTTTTTTCTTTGCACAACTATTTCTTGTAGTCTTTATGTCAATCAATAGTACCACTTTCAAGTCTCAAAAATCTTCCTAACACCCTTTAAAAGTCACCCAAAAATTGAAAAAATTACACTGTCATACTAATGTTCATTGATTTATAATACAAATTTAAATATATAATATAAATATTTCATGTTATATAACTTAAAAGTTTTATATAAATTGATTTAATTTAATTTAAAATATTTTTCAAATTTTTTTCATTTCTAATTACTTATCTATAATTATTAAAGGAAAATAAAAAAAAATATTTTACATATTTCAAAGTATAACAAATGATTTACTAAATTAAAATATTAAATT